ATATATATATTTAACATAGATTTAAAAGGTTTTCAGTATTTATTTAGCCTTCATCAAACCCAAATAAAAGCTCCCCCAATGTCCTCACACTTCTGTTACATTCAGTGCACAGCTTTCCAAATACCATGTCGCTGTTTATCATTTATCATACGTACAACACCATGTGCAGTACTGTACAGATATCTTATATCATCGCTCGTTATCTCCTGCCACAGACAGGCGTGTCTGAGTGTGTGTGTGTGTGTTTGTGTGTCTGTCTGTTGGCAAAGTATTCCTGGAGGAACTATCAGGAGATAATCATTGGTTGTTCCAATTTAACTGATAAACTTTTGGAGCTATCCTAATTGAAGATGGCTGACTCAATCAACCGTCTTAGGAAAACACACAAATGGCGTCATCGTGTCAGTCAGTTTTACAGATACCGAGCTATGAATAGGTGTGGTTGAGGTTGGGAGTCTCAATTGCACATGACAGAACAAATCGCACAATTATATGAATGTARCTTTGTTTTTAGCGTTAAGAAGAAAAAGTGGGAAAACACTTCAGAAACACAAAAAGCACAGTGCTAATACCACCTGTCAATGAGCATCACTAATAAATAAAACTGACAGGTCATAATTACTGAAAAGCTGTGTCTGCTTTGAAGCCATTAAGTAAATCTTGTTGRTGATCTAGGCTCTCTGGACCAGATTCTCTCTGTTGGGGTCAAAGGTCAGGTTTTTAAATTTCATTTGTCACTAATCTGTAGGTTACAATCAGTGTATAACAACTAATATAATATATACAAGGATTACTGCGAGGGAGTATGAACCCTGCTGTGAGGACACCAACAAGAGGACTTGACTTGATGCCTGGACCCCATCCTCAGGACAGTTTTCCATGGTCTCACCAGACTGGCTCAGTTACCTAAATGTGATGTAATCCCGCAGCAGGCTGAGCCAAGTTCTGCCAGGTGAGCTTCAGAAACAGCAACTCCATAATTAACGGCGCACACTTACACTAAGACGTCTAATTTTAAAACCACTGTGCGCTATTTCTGTACAAGACTGAGGTTACCCCTGAAGTCAACTACTAAAAAGCTCTGCCTGTCAGATGCTTATTTGTCTAAAAATTAAAAAAAAAAAGTAATATAAATACATTGCCGAAAAGAGAAAATAAAACAGGAATAAGACAGAAAAACGGGCCTACCGGCGGTGGTGGTGCTCAGCAGAGGCGGCGGACGGTTAGTTGCCCGGCTCCGGTGGTAACAGCATCCCGCAGCGCCAACGCAGAGGGTGAATTCCTATTTAAAGCGGCTCCGTCAAGCGCGAGGACGTAAACGCAACTTCCGTTACAACGTTTCAAAATAAAAAACCTCGGGTGGTTTATAGTTCTACAAAATCTACTGTGCTTCATCCTGGGGTATCACATAAAGTCATTATGTTCAAATACGTAAATTTAACGTGGCTCGCGAAGAGAAAAATACAGACAAAGCTACATAATTAACCGATATAGTTTTTTTTTAAATGCTAACATTTATTTTGTAGCAACAGTACAATCACTTCCGCTTCAGGCTTCATAATCGTGTACATTTCAGATTCCATCACAGGGTACAGCATGTTCAGATGGGTGCAACAAATGCTGCACACCTTAAATGTTAATTATAAAAATAGTTTATCTCTAAATAAGTAAAAATTTCATGATTTTTGGAGTTCATTCTCTTTATTTAACCACAAAAGGGCATATGTAGTTATGCAAACCTCTGTGTTTCCTTCAAGCAGGCCTTTAAATAACAGTAATATGCTCATAATACTGTGGAATTGCTCAGTAATACATATATAT